ACATTTAAATCATTGCACATTGAAAGTAAAAATACCGTTTTGTAATGCTGGTGTTAATAATGTAAACATTCAAAACGAATTAAATACTTAGCTGTATTGTGGGGCACGACTGCCCGATTTTTCTTCTTTCAACTTATTCAACCGGAGGAAATGATCGGCTGCCCATCCCAGCTATGTTACCATAAAAAGTGGGCCTGGACTTGGTGAGGGAGAAGTTAGGTTCATGCCCCTGCATAAAGTTGAACCGGAAGGAGCAGGCCGGTGGGAGATAGCTGCCTTTGTCTGGAGGGGAGCTGTTTTTCAAGACTCACAGGTGTTCACGGTATCCCAGTGAACCTATTAGGCTCACAGTGGCCTAAAGCTCAGCCCAGCGTACCCAAAGCCCCGACACTTGTTGGAGACATCTGTCATCTGCCTTAGGCCCTGCCTCGCTCCTTTCGCTCTAGTGGATGTCCCTTCAGAGAGGCCTTCCCTGTCACCCATTTCAAGGAGTGGCCCTGCCACTCTGGGTCCCTGTAGAACACTCGCCACTCTCTGACAACAGGCCCTGACAGAGGCTTTCCCACTAAATGCCTCTGAAGAGAACAGGTCACGTCAGAGTCTGGACCCGGGTCTCCCCACCTGCCCCCGTGAGACACTCCTCTCTAGAGGTCTGAGGGAGAAAGGTGAAGGGCCATCAGGAGCAGGTAGATGTCTGGATTTGGTCCTCGGATTAGCTCTCGAAGCTCCTGTCCCATTTTACGGCAGCCTAGTAACAGAAGGGAGACGTTCTGAGCGATGCATAATGAAAAGGACCCAACCTGGCTGCAAGTCAGCCCGCCTGGCTGGCACTCAACTTGGTATTGTCCCAGGACTGTCTATGCCTCCCTCCCTCCCCTCTAGTTCTTGGCACCCAAGCCTTCATTCTAGTTCTTTCCCTCATCTTCTATTTTATGTTTTTGGCCACAGTGGATGCAGATTTAAATCAAAAGTCAGAGTTTAGATCATTTTGAAGAGCTGCTGATGAGTGGTCCTGCCTTGCCATTTGTTTTATGAGTCCGCTTCCTGCCCTTTCCAGCATGGGCTACAAGGCTCCGTGCAGCTGGGAAGAGTGATGGGACCTGCTAGGGTGCTGCCCAGAGGCCCAGGGCTTCCTGATGACATTGCGTCATGGAAAAGCTGTAATAACATTCTGCTCTCCAGCCTCCTTTTCCCTCGAATCGGGAGCACCAGAGGGAGGGAGGCAGGCCTGGGTGACTGTCTCCCTGGCTGTCCTTGGCCTCCCTGCTGGGGAGGGCAGGAGCGGTTGCCGCTCTTCAGCACCTGTCTTAGGGACCAAGTGAGAGTTCCTGGGGGGCAGATGGGGCAACTGAGGTGGGGAGACGGGAAGAAGTCTCTCAGCTCTCTGGACTCACGCGGAACGTCAAAGGACACAGCTGAAGGGGAAGGATCTGCGTCAGAGCCCACAGCCCTGGCACTGGCAGGCCCTTGCTTCTGCCCCTCCACGTCCCCACTCACTCTTTATGTCTCTCCTTCTCCCTCCTTAAATCAGGTATCGATTTGACTTGAGGATTTAGGAGGTTATAACAGACTGGCTAGCTTCTCATCAAACCCATTTCCTTTTCCAGGCATATGGTTAAACGACATCTCAGCCTGCTGGCATCTGGGCAGGGCCCATGGCTGGTTCTTGCCTCTGGAATGGGGGTGTGCCTCCTGAGTGCCGTCTGACTTTCAGGCCTCGTGGTTGACTGGAGGTGCTGGAGTCACGAGATGGAAGGTCCGTGGGGGACCGTGCAGAGCTGAGGCTCTTTCTCTGCTGACCAACCCGACGGGAATACAAAGCTACTGTTGCTTGGGGATTGTTTGTTGTAACAATTAGCCCACCCTGACTAACACCCTTGTGTTTCTTAGTTCAGAAGAGAGCTCCCCAGTTTGGGGGAAGGAAGGCCAGGCGGGAGGAGGCCCTTCCAGGCTTCCAGACAAGAGGGAGTGGTAGAAGCGGAAGGTTCGGAGGTCCCTGACAGTCCTCAGTGCTGGGCTTTCTCCATTTTCATCTTAATCTCTCCTGGTGCCTCTTCACATCAACACCTGCGGCCAGTCCCGACCCCGCTGTTCCCTGAGCAAAATACTTGATTCCTTTTGCTGTGCTTGTCCCTAATGCTCGCCTTCTTGATCACCTCTCAGTCTTGCCTCCCTTTCAAGGCACAGCTCAGACACCGCCTCTGTGATCTCCCCATGTGGCACTGAGCCCTCACTGTCTCTCCTGGCCAGCACTCTGGATGGCTGAGCAAATGGCCCCCAGGCCTTGTTGAAGCACCTCTGATATTTTCACATGAGGGTCTTCATCTTCTCATTAAGTCATAAGGTTTTTTCAGGATAATGACCTGACCCTCACCCTTCCTTGTTTCTTGCCTAGGTCCCAGCACTGGGCCATATGTACCACGCGCTCGGAGAATATTCCTTGGTTGGATGAATGGAGGGAAGGAAGGACAGATTAACGTAATCACAAACACATGAGCTCCTCGGCCAGATTTTCAAGTGTCTCCACCCTCTGGGCTCACTCTGTTTCTCTCTTCTTTGCTCTACTACTCCCAGCCACCAAACGCCCGTTCTGGGTGGGTTGGTCTGTCTACAGACTCCTGAGCAGGCTGGGCTTCTCCTTCCCTCCGCTCAGCCAGCCCCTTCTCCATTCTTGTCACTGTTCAGGGCCTAAGTGAAGTCTCACCTCCTCCAACAGTTTCTGTGATGAGGGTTGGCTGTCAGGCGATGTGCATTTCTCTGTTGGCTGTGGGCCGACCTCTTCTGCGTGTGGGACTGATCCTCTGTACCACACAGATGAGTCCTCTGTATCCCAGGGTACTGTCTCTGTGTGGTTTGTTATCAGATCATGTGTGGAACCTTTGCCTCCTTGCCTAGAATCTTCACTCCCAAGTGCTGGATCTTCGCCAGTGCTTGGCAAAAAGATCAGCAGGGGAGAGCTGCCTAGTTCGGTGTATACTTGCCGGGTGCTGGATATTTAGGGCCCCCTCACCTCTTTTGCCATTTGAACGTGAACTCTCTCTGAAGATCAAATACATCCATGCCTGCCATCTTCTCTTCTTCTCGTACCTCTCTGTTCTTCCCCCTCGGCCTGGGTTTGCAGTGCTTGGGTGGACTCATTCAGCTGAGTCAGGAAAACCTTGTGCACATTTCCAGACAGCAGCAACCCCTCTGAGCCCAGGGGTCTGGGAAGCACAGCCTAGAACCAGCTTTGCGCCTCGTAGCAAACTGCACTTTTGTTGGCGAAATCCTCTGGGGCATGTGGGGGTTTGGTCTGGGCCTGGAGGGATTGGCAGAGTGGGGAGAAGGGCTCCTGTGAAGGGCGTTGTTGGATAAAGGAGGGGCTGAGCGAAGATGGGTCACATGGATGGGGCCAGGAGAGTGAGTGTGGCACAGTTAGGGACATGGGCCAGCCAGCCCTAAAAGACTTCCATTCTAGCTGACGCTCGTCCCTGCCCCCCGCTGCCCCCCACCCCCATCCTCAGGTAGGTCCCACAGCACCCAGGGCTGAGAACGGGGCCAGGAAGCAGAAGCTTTGGACTTAGTTGAAGCAGATTTTCAAGCAAGGAAGTAGCCTAGTAAAAGCAATATTTAGGGCTCCATTTTGTCATTAGCAAATACTTAGTTTTCGGCTGACTTCCTTTTTGCCACCCAACATACTTTGACTCAGTTCTCCCATCATGGGTGCAGAACATGCAAATTAATCATGCCGTTACCTCAGCCAAACATAATTAGGGAAGTTAACTTGCTTCGAAATCCATATAATGTATCCTACAATTAAACAAAAAAAAAAAAAAATTTTTTTTTTTTTTAAATTCAGGACTCTTTCCTTCTGTAAGTGTGGCTTTTTCGAAGGTTGATTGTAATTAGCCAGGAGAATATAAAAATTATTTGACTTTGCATTGTAGAAAGTTCAGATAAAAGGACAACTTATGAGGTCTGGTACCTGCCTTGTAGATACATGGAAATATTTGATTAGCTCCCATTTCCCCCCGGGATCCCCAAAGGATTGCAGGAGATCGGTGAACTGTTCTAGTCACCCGTAAAGTGGAAATGCCATACAGTGTGATGATCAGAATAAACAAACAGAAAGGGTAATAAGGTACACCAAATAATCACTGGTGACCTCAGCAATTTTATTAACAAATTTATTTCCCTAATTGGGTAACATATCTTAGTGCTCGACTCAAGGGCATTGTAATAGGTTTCCACACTGCAGAAGAAGGAATTAATTGGAACTGTTTGCTCTTTGTTCCATATTTACACTTGTCCACCAGTCTTGTAAACATTGCGCCTGGATTGCTTGGCCCTTCAGGCTTCTCTCTCCCGACTCCCCAACCCACCCCCAAAATAAATAAATAGAAAGCGGACAGTGTGATTTAACAGCATGGCTCATCCTTTCAGCAGCCCCCTCCCCACCAGAACTGCGGTTTATGGTTAGAGCTGGTTTGTGGCCAGAATTGGACAGAGGCATCACTTCCAATAGGTACCGGAAGTCTAGAAAGATACCCTCATCTCCTCGGGCAGAAATGGAGAACCCAGGGGCTTGATTTGCCAGGACTGTGTGTGGTTTGCCCTTGCCCATTCAGACCCTGGGTAGGAAGCTGGCGAGACGGGCAGATCAGTCCCATGTGTTCCCGCCCCACCGAAATGCCTCCTAGGAAGATAAGAGACAGTCATTCGTGAGCTCTGTCTGCTCTTGGGGTGGGCTGCCTGTGTGAGCAGAAAAAAAACATACACTCATGACCTCACTCTTCTGGTCTTCTTCAAGTAGAGTTTTTTGCCTCACAGCTTGCCAAGACGTCAGCGCAACAACAAAAAAGCATTTTTCAACGCAAATTCTCTAGAATCATACTGTAACGCTGGCTTCTCCCTCATGCCACAGCCCTCCAGTGTACTCCACGATGGTGCCATTTCACTCTGGCTGTCCAGCCTTGGATGACCGGCATTAGCAGAAGATGCCAGCGGATGTGAAATTACCTCCAGAGCTGGTTTCTGTAGCAACCATTAATATCCTCTGCCCTGTGTGGCTCTTGAATGTGGCTAGCATTATCACAAAAAGACGTCTGACCGTGTCTGGAGTACCCTGGCTACCACTAGGTCCCTTGTGAGAACTATACTCTAGAAAAATACAGATAGGCCCAACAAGCCTCATTCTCCCTCTTGAATATCCTGCAGGATCTGGATGAGGTTCTCTAGGCCAAAAATATAGCCTGGATCTGGTCCGTCGTAAGAGGTGTGCTCATCCCAGGAGCCTTTGTATGTTGTGTGGGCAAAGTCGATCATCCGGATGTCAACTTTGCTGACACCTCCAGAAGAGCTGCCATGGGCCGTCCTTTCTGGTGGCTCCTGCCCATCATAGATGATGAGGAGAGAGCTGGAGTAGAACCGGTAGGAACTCTGGCTCCTAATGACCGAGAGGAGGGCACGGAGCTGGCACTGGATGGGCTCCAGGAGCTCCGTCCGGAGGCGGGTTCCATTATGCAGGAACTGATGGAGGGCCTGTCGGAAGCCCTCGACAGAGAGTTTTCTTCCGTAGTACTTGTCTTTGCAGAGAAAGTGCTTCTTATCAACTTGATAAACCTGATAATAAAAAAAGAAAGAAAACGTGAAAAATTGCCAACTCAAGAGAAAGCTTGCCACTGCTGTAGTTGCAGGGTTACAAGCTAGCGTGATATATAAACAGATTTCTGGGAGATGCAGGGCAGGAATGGCTGAAATGAATGGAAGGATGATCTTCCATCAAGCGCCAGGGGAACTTTCACATTTTAAAATGCTTTCTCTGCAAGCCCTTAATAGGAATCCAAGGTCTACATATCCTTCACCCCATGAAGGTGACCCTCCACCCATAACGAAAAGCTCTGGATCGCCTTTGCTGTGAATTTCCAGTGTCATCCTCCAAATCGTGATTTAAACCCTGGCTCCTGGCCTCCTTCAATTCAAATATTAGCAAACCCAAGCTAGAACGCTTTAGCAGGAATCTGAGATCGCAGCCAATGGCCTTGGAAAGCCAACTAGATTCAATTTTCCCCAGTAAAGTTTGTAAAGTCCTTTCTCTGCAGATTCTAAGGAAACCGTCACGGCTTTTGGGGTAGAGCAGGGTTGACTGAAGATAAAACAATAAGAAGATAGGCTGGATGAGGAAGGGATGGGGTTTTCCAGCAGCCAGTGCCACTGAGGGGAGCCTGGATGGAATAGGGAGGAGGCTCGCAGCAGCTCTGTGGGGCTGGTGGCTCCTACTTGGCACCAGCTCCTCTCCCCCCAACTCCCCTGTCATGTCTTGGCCACCAGAAGGAAGCAGATGGAGAAGATGCTGATGGGGGGGACAGTGGCAGCTGCTCCCATTCATTCAGAGGCTGTACTGAGGCCAGTGGCTGGCGTGGCCATGACTTGGCTTACTTCTGTCTGGCACACCTGGGAAGGGCAGCCCATACGTGGCCAAGACAGTTTCTCAAGTCTTTCCCGCCTTCAGATTACATGGTATGTGTATGGAAAACCAGTGTAGGAAAAAAAAATCAGAAAGCTATGATAGACTTGCTTTGGAGGGTGGGAGATGGGCTGTTAAATTAGCCATCATAAACACATGACAGTTGTCACTGTCTAAATAAATCAGATCGTTTTCAGAAGATTGGAGGTCCGGAGAGAGATTCCGTTTACACCCCGAATCATCACACTCCATTCTCTTGAGGACTGCATTCCAAGCCTTCCGAGGGACATCTGTGCAACAAATTTATAGACTCCACTTCCAGCTTCAAGGGGTGGCAGTTTCAATTAAGGAAAGCCTCAACGTGTACCATCAAATCAGTGTCTGGTTTTGCTTTGAGGAGATAGACGGTAAGAGCGAACGAGTGGGGGAAAGTTGATTTCTTCCAGTTCTGCAGCCCCTGCCATGAGCCACGTCAGCTGCAAAAATGGGGTAGAGTCTGGGCAATAAAAAAAAATTAACTGTTCCTTTGCCTCAGCTGAGCAGGCTACGACCTTCCCACTTCTTTAACCAGAACAGACAGCAAAAAAAACTCCAGAAGACATGGAGTAGGAATTCGAAGAGCAGAGTGCCTTATGGCCCCTGAGAAGGAGAGTGTTCAGCTCTACCCTTCCAGAGACCAAGGAAGCCACGGAGTGCACAGAGAAGCTCTTTTTCTGTTCTCTCCCCAGCCCCTGCTCACACACTGTCACCAGAGGTCTGCTCTCCATGTGGACAGGCCCCACGTGGCCCCTGGGAAATTCCACCTACCGCAAACCCTCCTGTGTGGCTGGCTTTGTGGGTGGCGGTGTCCGCAGTGGACACGCCAGGACCCCCAGCCCCACGACGGACCCTCTGCCGCCTACCTGCATCCCACAGATGCGCACACCCAGGCAGGCCGAGGTGCTCTGTGCGCACTTGTGCATGTGACGGGCCTTCTTCTCCTCTGACGCGTCATCTCCGTGCTGCCGGGTCCCCATCTTCAGGTCCAGGATACAGGGGTGCTTGTACTGTGACACGACATTTTCCAGCAGCAGAAACCCTGTTCAGGCTAAGTTCAGGAAGGCTCTGTGGACTGGGAGGCTGCGGCCCCCATGGAGGCAGATTGCACGGCCCCATGACTGCCCGGGACCCCCTTTCCGGAGTGCCGTTCCTTCTCCCCCTGCTCCGCACGGACAAGCCCATCGCCCCTCTTAGGAATGCAAAGTATTAGCCTAGCAGGCTGCTTTAAAAAGTCCATTTATTTAGGGGGAGTTTATGACTCCGGGAGCTTCTTCTCCTTTTCCTTTCTGCTCCGAGGTTGAAATTTAAATGCAGGCGCGAAATCCCTGGCAGGCCATGCCCAATTTACATTTTACAGCAGAAAATCATAAGGCTAAAACCTCGAGTCACTGAATGGGCCAGTACCTTTTGGGAGAAGTGGGTTGATGTTAGCTTTGGAGATGAGTTGCAGGGATATTAATTTCAGTGGAGTAATTATCCTGCAAAAGCTTCTTAGGGATTAGGGTTGCAGATGTGTCTTAGTAAATACTGTGGAACCAGTCACCCGTTTGCAGGAAGGAGCCTAGCATTGACAAAGGGGTATTTCAAGCCTAAATGTACTCACTGAGAACATGGCAGCCTGAAGTGGTGGGGGGAGTGCCTCCCCTAAGATTCTCCCTCTCAGGCACTGCCCTGAGTGGGCACTGCACCCCCAACCCCATTAGCTCCACAGGGAGACATCTGCGGGGAGAATTTGGAGGGCTAGAAGGGAGGCTGGGGTGTGGGGAACCCACCCAGCCCTCTGAGCCTCCTGCCACCCCCACCCAGCATGGCTGTCATCATTCCTGTCTGCCAACAGACACCCTCAGCCCAGCCCCTCTGCCCAGGTGGGAGCAGCGACATAGCCAGCGGCCTGGCCATGGGCACTGTGTTCAGCTTAATTCCCAGTCCGACTTCCCCCATAATCTCTGATTTTCTTTTTCTTTTTTCTTTCTTTTTTTATTTTTTGGAGGGATCAGATGTCTTCTAGGTCCCAGATTTGAGGGCTTGTGCCTCGATGTCTTCCTTGCACTGGTCTCTCCCTGCCCACCCCTGTCCTGGCACCCATGTCTGTGTCTCCCCCTCCCGCCCCTGCTCCCATGTCTGCCTGTCTTTGTCACCCACTTTCCCCCGCCGCCTCGGCCTCTGACAGGCAGCAGGGAGTGCCGGCAAGGATACGGTGCCTCTGGTTCTCCGGGTACTCGGTGCATAGGCGGGTCAGGTGGGCCTGGTGGCACTGCAGTCCCCACGGGTTAAAGCTCCTCCTCTCGGCCTGGTTCCCTTTAGCGTCTTCCACGAGCTTGGAGACTGGGGCATTGAGACAGAACTCGGACCTCGAGAGCGACGTGGCCGGGCTGTGGGAGAGGGAAGCACACGGCAGTCAGAGCAGCCATGGCCAGCAGCCGTGGCCAGAGGGCTGGGGGTAGGTGCCCGTCCCTGGGACAGGGCTCTCCTGGGCTGGGCTCTGATGGGGACAGCCCCTGGCTGCTCTCCACGCTGCCTACAGGGCCTTAGAGTGCCCTTGCTGCCCCATTCAGGCCTTGGGCACCAGATCAGGCCACACTGCAGCCCTGGCAGGACGTCTCTCCAAACCCCAGAAGAATTCATTAGAGCCTGGCGCCTCCTCAGAGGGCTGAGGTGGTTTAAGTTCACTTGTAAGTGATCTGGATTCCTCTTGCACTCTCAAGGCGATGCAGTGTGGGGACCACAACCCTGCCTGGAATCAGAAGGCTGGGATTTTAGGCTGTGAGTGTGTTGTGGCACTATTTCCTTGAGACCTCAAAATGCCCTTAGGGCCGGGAATCCTGGATCTTTGGTCTGCCCTCTCTCCAGTCCTCTGCATCTCAGCTTCCCCATCTGTGAAATGGAGATAATATGTACCTGCTTCCTGATGCAGAGCCAAGAGACGTAATTAGATCTGCTGTGCTCCTTGGGGAAAGGAGGCACTTTCATTGTATTAGCTCCCTTTTGTTTCCTATAAATGTTTTATAAGTCCCCAGGGGTCCTTTTCATCTGAGGAAGGTCAGCTAACATTATCAGAGAGGTTCTGGAGACCTCTCTGGGAACTTGGGTGCCCTGAGCTGCCTGGTCTCTGAGATCCCACGGTGGGGGTGGGGGGTGCAGGGGGATTGTGTTGACCTCTCTCCTCGTCCCTTCTTGACTGCTGGGGAAAGGTGACTTCGGACTGCCATTAGCCATTTCTCCCTTGCGTCAACTTTTTGGGGTTTCTGTATTCCCCCACCCCCACCCGGAGACACTGCACGGTCTCCGTAAAATAAGTATTTAATTAAACAAGTATGTGCTGAAATGTCTGTTCCCTATAGGACCCTGCATATGTGGCAGCTTCTGAGACATTGTGGAATCCTCCCTCTGAAACTGCATAAAGGAAAACTCATGCCCTCCTTTGGTCGCCTGGATGTTTCTAGAAGGAGATTTCCTGGGAATGTGTCATGTCCTCGGCCCTGTCAGGAAGCTGTGGACCTTGGCACAGGTGGGAGCAGAGCTGGTCCCTGCTAGGTTAGCTGTCATCCTACCATGCGGCCCTCACCTCTCCTCGAGTGAGTGAGCCAGCTGCCACTGGACGAGGGGGTGGACGCCACCACTGCTGCCGGTGGTCTGCTGGAGCGTCTGCCATATTGCCACTGCCGCCGATTCCGTGGAGACCTTGAAGGGCCCCCGGTTCTCCTTCAGCGGGGTGGCCACCAGGCTGAGATGGCCTCGGCTGTCTTTTTGGAGGTGCACCGTGATGGTGCCTGCAGAGTACACGGGGGGAGGGGAAGGGGGGAAACCAGATGGAATTTACCTGGTGGACATGTTGCAAGGGGTGACATCCTTCTGAATTGCGGTTTAAGGGCACTGATCAACCCCCCCCCCTTCCCTAACTGCTCTCTCAAGGAAGAGCTACGGGGACTGTTCCAAAATGAGCCCAGGGCCGCGGAGCCTACAGAAAATAGCCGTGGGCTGGTCGGCGTTAGCTCTCCTTCCCTGAATCTCTCTGCCCTTTCAAGCTTTGAACAAAGCCAGTCCCGTACATTTTGTTCTCACCTTCTGGTGCCTTGGTACACACTGGCACCTTCCCAGGCACAACAAAGCTGTTCCAGTGGGGTCCAACCCGGGGTTATCAGAGCCGGTCTTCCGCAGGGAGGCCGTGAGGGAAGTTGGGGTCCATCCCATAACTTCCCTGTGCCTCTTTCATCATCCTTTCTCTCCCTTCCTGTTCTTTCTGACCAGCTTCTTCCAGGAAGCCTGCCTCAGACACCCTTCCTGGGCTCAGCCTCTCTGTCCCCATCCTTTAGACCTCTCCCCTACCCACCATCCTGGCTTCAACACGGATGCCCGCCATCTCCTTCAGTTAGACCCACAGCCCATGAATATTACTGACGGAACATGGTTCTCTGATAGAAAACAGGAGGCTGGTGGGATTTCTCCAGCTACGGTAACTCCTGCCCATCGTGTTTGTAATCAAGGCACAGCAGCCCGCTCCGGTCGCTGCTTGTGAGCGTGGAGAGTGTGAGGAGACCCAGTGAACAAACGTACTAATTGGCTTCTCCGGGACAGGGGCCAGGTTGGGTAATTAGGTCTGGCACGCGTGTCAGCGGCTCCGTGGTCACCCCTGTTGGATTTCTTGCTCTGGCGGCACAGTCCAGGCCTTCCCCCATAGGGCTCAGCATCCGCTCTAAATGGGTGCCCGGCCTCACCCAAGTTCTGCTGGAGGTGGAGCTATGCTCTTGGCGGTGGCAGGGGAGATAGCCCCGCAGGTGGCTTTGGAGTCCTCGGTTCCCTGTTCTTCCTGCAGCTGATCCCTGACTGTTCCAGTGGCTCCTTCTCCCTCCAGGCCACCCTGCACCTGTCTCCACCCTGCTTTGTGCCTGCCAGGCTGACCCTGTGAAGTGCACCAGTGGCTTCTGCACCCCTGATTTCCCAGGGGCTGGGCCAATGAAGGATGTCGGCAGGAGATGGCCTGGGGCCAGAGAAAGATTGAGGTGTTTATCCCACTGGTTTCTTCCCTGCCTCAGCATGATCCTGTCCCTCTGTGGCCTCCCTCTCACTGGGTCCGTGACCCCATTCCCTTCAGGCCTAGGAGTGGTCACAGCCTTTCAGGGGCGCTGGTCCCTGCGTGCCTCATCGCCCCCAGTTCCCTTAATCCCACGTGCATGTCTACGAGCCGTCCTTTTGAAAACCCTCTTCATTTAAAGCCCGTTGGGCACACCGCTCATTGCCTGCTGGGACTCTGACCTGGGTGGGCTGCATGTGATCAGGTCCCCCTCAGGTATTTATTTTCTCCCCTGCCACTTGGTCACTTTCTCAGCGCGAGTGGTAATTTTTGCTGAACCAGCGCTCAAGGCAGCTGATTTCCCTGCTTGCGTCCCTGCCCAGGCTGGTCAGTGCAGACGCTCATTTACAGGGCTGCTCTCTAATTCTGCAAGTCGCTCTTCAGGGCCATCTGTGCCTAGCTCAGCGGCCTCTCTGGGCTAGTCCTGTCATCTCAGATTCCCGGTGCCCTAATTTCGCAGCCCGAGAGTGACATTCAGTTCTTTCCAGCTCCTTAAAAAAATTCTGCGTTGCCTCAGCTCATCTCAGGCCCCTGAATCTTGTGAATTAATAATGATACGACTAATAATACTGTCCTTGAACCTGGAATTTTGTCGTTTACCTGAACCCCGGGGTTCCGCCTGGGAGAATGGGGGGCTGATGGCAGGTTGGGGGAGGAACTGCAGTAGTGCTAATCAGTGTCGTGTTCGTCTGTTACCACTGAGTGACAGCAAGCCTGTGAGGCCCTTGCCCGTGGTCATGGGGACTTGGGGAGATGGAATGACTTGCCCAAGGTCACACAGTAAGGGGCGGAGCTCTGAGAAAGGCCACAGGGGACATGGCTATGGAAGAGGGAACAAGCTGTAACACGGAGCCAGGGACTTAATGGGAAACTCCAGCGTTGTCGTGCTGTGTTTACTTGTGTGTGGATGAGGAACGCTCCTGCTGTGTCCTCATCACATTTGATTCGGCCCTTCTGTTCCATGGGAGCGAACAGAGAAACCTGTTTTGAGAGGGTCATTGGTTCAGAGGGGTGGGAGTGCCAAGAAGCCCAAGGACATGGTGTTTCCCTTGCCGTTCCTCTTTCCTCAGGCAGGAGGGCCACTCTGCTTGCTCCGGGGAGGGCCAACCTGGAAGCCAGCACTGGCCCCAGAGTCCACCCCTCCACCGTGGGGAAAGGAGAGCGCGCTAGCCTCTGTGCTTGTCCTTGGGGAGCTTGGAGCCTCATGGCTGCTGGGGAGCCCAGGACCGTGCGCAAGCCAAGGGCATGGCCCTTTTCGGTCTTTTGTAAAGTTCGGCTCACCCTCTGGCCTTTTCTGCTGTGGGACTGTGGGATTGGGACACGCTCACCAGAAACCACTGTCTTGGGGAGCCCCGGCCCCAGGAGGCCTCCCTGGAAGGACAAGAAACGTGACTTTCTCCTGCTTCTCTAGGCTCCAGCTCTTGTCTGATCTCATCAGATCTGACTGTCTCAATAAATGGAGGCGAGGAGAGGTGCAAAATAACCAAAAACCAATAAAATCCAAAAATCATTTCTATTTCTCATATTGTCAGAGCTACCCAGCCAGACTTCGTGTCCCTGCCTCTCGTCTTCCTTCACGCCTCTGGTTCTGTGTCTCCACCTATCTGTCTTCCTCCCTCTCCCACATCTCTCTCCAGCTCAGCCCAGACTTTGCTCTGAAGCCCAAGACGCATAGCAGATCTCTGCCTTGCAGATGATCTCAGGTTGTCTTCTCTAAACCGAAGCAGCCGGTCAGTGGAATCCAGACGCCTTGGGGCTCGGCTTGGTTTTTAGTCAAGATTGTGTTGGTCCCAGCCTGCCTTCCGGCTTGCTTTGTGTGTCCATGGGAGCTAGGCCTGGAGGGACATGGGCCCCCCACACTCTGCCGCCTCTGCCTGGCCGGGGGTAGCGGGGGACAGCCAGAGCTTTGCCTGCAGTCACACCAGCCGGGCAGACAAGAGTGCTTACTGCCACAATTGCCATGCCCAGAGCATCTCAGCAATTTCGGCTTGGCCAAGCAGCTTCCCCAGCCTCTGGGAATGTTCTGTCATGTATTTATTTTTAAGCTCATGAGAGCATTTATTTGCCGGCGTGTATAAGATGAATCTGGCTCGTCTGTTAACCAGCCAGACTTAGGAGTATGTCTTTGCTCACCCAAAGCTGACAGGTACACTGGGAGTCAGAGAGATGCAGGTCCAAAATGTTGTCCTGCCCGAGGAGCCCAGCAAAAGGTCCGGGCAAGCTCCTGGCATGGGGAGGCTAGCCTTGGGAGTGACGTCCCTGCCCAGCGCTCTCTGATTTCATCACAGTGCAGGGCAGTGAGAAGGGAGAGGCTGTGCTCCATGGCACACAGTGGCCACTACAGAAACAGCCCCTCTCTGGGGGAAACCCCCTGTGGCAGCCTTGTGGGCATTCAAGTCCCCCTGACCTGAGGTCACTCATTGAGTGACTCTGGGCAAGGCACATCCCCTCCTTATTGGGCTAGATGACCCCCTGACCTAGCCTGAGAGGCAGGCTAGAGTAGGGGTCCGGACAGTAGACTAGTGCCCAAGAGTGCCCAGGAGGGGTGCTGTTCTCCCCCTCCTCCCGCAGAGGAATGGGCACTTGTAGACAGGACCCAGGGAGGGCGTCGGGATGGGGTCCTGGAGACCAAGCAGCCTCTTTCACTTTCCTGCTCTGCCTGTGGCCGCCCCAGCCATCTGTCTCAGCTCCAGAGCCATGTCCAACAGGCATGAAATGCTGCTGGCAAGAGGCCCCCCCAAGCAGGGTCCTGCCACCCCTTTGCTAGGTTGAGTTCCGTTGTGAAAGGACATTCATTCCAGTGGGTGCTCTGACGACATGGGCAGTGACCCACAACAGATGGGCAACCCCGGCCTGTGGCCCCAGAGGCCCCAGGGGAGGCCTGTACAGGCAGCACACCAGTTACCCGCCCCCCTCTCTCCCAGCGTGTGGTGCTCACAGGCCTCATCTCAGACTCTCAGAAGGTCTTGGCAAGCTGGCACTGAAGCGGTGCTTGGGGCTCAAGTCCTTGGCCCCCAGCAATGGGTCTCAGTCTGAATGCTGGATACAGATTCTTGGGCCCTGCCCCCAAGGGTTCTGGTTCACAGGGGTAGAAGGGAGCCTGGGAATCTGCATGTGAACCCCTACACCAGCCTTGGTCAGTCCCAGAGCACACTCTAAGAAACACCCACAGAGCTAGGCCCCATTTTTCCTGGTTATTTTGGTCATTGAAATGCGAGTAAGTTTTTGACTGACTTATTTGGATATTATCATTACTTTTACTGCAGATGCATATTCGAGGGCAGAAGCTTGTAGTCACAACATTTAAAAACCTTTAAAAGAGATCTTTTCTCTGGGGACTTGTCCCATTGAGGGGTTCGCAGCTGGCAGTCTTGCCCTGAGCCCTGTGAGCCGCATTTACTGAAGGCTGGGTGTGGACAAAAAGCCTGCCTCGTGGATGCTGGCCAGCTGCCCAGAGGGCCCCACAGGTGGCGGCCCTCCCCAGCCAGCCTTCACCCCCCTGAACCCACCTTGTACTCAGATCTAGAACACACACAGCTCCGTGCCCCGCTTCCCCAGCTCTACCTGGAGGGCAGCCCATGGCCCTGGCTTGGCCATTAGGTGAGAATGAGGAATTCTCGTTTCCTAAACATGTCAGGTCCCTGCTCCTTCACTCCCTGACCCAGGCCTGAGGCTCCACGGAGGGGCAGGAGGCTTTGGCCCGCCCTGTCTTCCCCAGCCCCAGTTACAGGACCCAGCCATGGCACCCCTGAAGCACAGAGCAGACTCCCTAGAAGAGCAGGGTGGGGCTGGGGTATCATTTCACTCCACGCTCAATTCCTCGAAGCCTAGTAGCTTGAGCTCGTTTTTAGGGATGCCAAATGGTATTAGACTCCAGGCCTGGAGGCTTGAAGAGTTCAGAGAAACTAGGACATCGAGGGCCAGCCAGCTGTGGGGAGGGGGCCTGTCTCCATGGCAACCTGGGGAGGCGGTGGGGGATGCGGGGGGCGTCCAGGAGCCTGGCCTGCGACGGCAGCACGATGGCGCACAGAGCCGCAGCCGGCCGTCAGGGACACTCACCTTTGTACTGCGGTGTGAAGCCCTTCATGGCCAGAGGCAGAGACTCGTAGAACCTCTGCTCCCGGGAGATGAGGGGCTTGCACACGGTGTGCTCATCGTACTTCATCACGCTCAGGTGCCCCCCAACCTGGTGCAGGAAGGGCTCTAGCCGCACGCCCACTCTGGCCTCCCCAGCATCTGTGCTGTCCTGCACAACCATGTGTCCACGAGAGGAAGGCCTGGGCAGCTCCCAGACAGGGGGCGGGGCCGTCAGTGGGGCTCAGCTGTCTCCTTAGTGGCCTTGATCCCCGTCATAGCGCAACTGTCCCTCTGTCTGTTGGCCTGGGAGGGGGCCCCTGGAAAGCAGAGGAGGAAGGTAGAAATGGTGTGAGGGAGACAAGGTCCTGGGAGGAGTGGAAGGACCCGCAGTTCCCAGCCACGACCCACTGGTAGTTGAACAAGACTGTACAAAGGCTTCCGTCACTTCTAGAGTAATCCATTACAAGAAACTGGTACTGTGGTTGCTCTGGGGAGCCAGGATGAGAGATAGACTTCTCTGAATCCGTCCTGTTTAACATTTTTTGAAAAATCAAATAACACACACAACCATAGGCTTCCAGAGTGCCGAGATTGTGTTTAACTCCTCATATCGTGTTTCCTGCCTGCTTTGGGGAACATTGGTCGCAGGCCCAAGGAGAGGTGTCAGGGTGTCAGGGTGCTTGGCCTCTCGCAGGGGCCTGGGGTGCACAGCAAAGCTTGGGTTTTGTCAGCACAGCTGTGCACACCTGTCTGCGTCACGTCTTCACAACATAATTGCCATGTGACTCTGAGAAGTTACCAAACCTCTTTGGGCCTCAGTTTCCCCATCTGTAAAGTGAAATAGTACTTTATGGACATAGGACAACATTGAGATAAAGCCCATGAAAAGGTTGGCTGAGGGCCCAGAGCTAAGTCCTCAATAAATGTGATTTGTCGTAATTATTTCTAGCCTTATTGCCTTGGTGGTCATATTTTCCCAACAGCTCTGGGTTGGAAGAAAGGCCGTGTTTCTCACCGCCACTTTGCACAAGAGGGAAGTGGGGCCTGCACTGCCTTGACTGGGCTCTGGTGCAGGCCAGGGGCAAGGCAGGAGGAAAGTGGGGACTGCTGGTCTTGGGGCCTCATTCCTTACGACCTGCCGCTCCCTTTTCCTCCCTAAGGTCAGGCTTGCTGGAACCCTGGGTTGGGAATACATCCCCAAAAGACACCCTGACTTTGTCTCAGGAGAGTGCCCAAGGAGACACTGTGAGGGGAGGCTCTTCTGGCCACATTCGTCCCGTCCTGTCTGAGAGGACATTGCCACAGGGGTGCCCATCACCGCCAAGTTATTAATACTCTCTCCTCCGCTGGACTCCCGGCCAAAGATGCCACCAAGCTAGGCAGCCCTGGACATGATTAATGCTCTAAATGACCTTCAGTGCAGACCATGAGCATGGCCAGCCAGCTCCATGCGTGGAGTGCCTATCAGTTTGTTCAGGACCCCAGCTCAGAGAGACCCCCTGCTGCCCCCCAGGGGTTTCTCTCTCTCTCTCTCTCTCTCACTGGCTACTGTTTTTCAGGCCACAGAGTGCCCCTCTAGAAAGGGGAGGTGTTTTGCCTGGTGTGTGCATTTGCTCTGCTGGGTGCGGGACGAGGCTTCTGAGAGCTGCACGTGTGGCCAGAGCAGGACGGGGGAGGTTAGCGTGGCTGGGCCAGGCAGCCAGGGCGGGGGGAGCCTGAGGCCTAATGGCGAGGGGCTGTGCTGACGCAGCAGGCTCGGCCTCACCCCGAGTCTGCTCCCAGATAGCACGGAGGGAGCCCCACTTGGAGCCTGTTCCACGAGCTGAGAAGTCAGTAGGAGGCATCTAGATGCAGAGGCAAATCTGAAATCAGTGCAGGAACAAGCTGATACAGGACAAGGTAGCCCAGTGGCTTGGCAAACCAAGTCGTACTTGGCAGATGTGGTGAAGGCAAGAAGGAAGGTAGGAGAGAAAAACCCAGGTGGCCTAGCTTGCTGAGGCCCCTGGGATGAACTTGGTAATGCTCGTCTGAGTCTTGGTTTCCCACCCACTGCCACAGCCTTGTCATGATGCTCTGTCAGATGACAGAACGCACAGCATTCCTTTGTGGAGTCCTTTTCCCAAGCATCCCCACCCTTTGAGTCTTGTCACTGCGTGGGTTATTCTCAGGACTGACTCAGCTCTGGTGCTGGGAAGGCAGGTGAGGTGCCTGCCTGAGACAGGACCTTACGCCCCCTCTGACACCCTCACTAAGTACACTGGTCTCCCTTCAGTGCGTCAGAGGGAGACAAATGTCCTCTCTCCAGCCCACACTTCCCTCCATAGCCCCACAGCTGGACCCTCACTCAGCATCCTGCCCTGGTGTTCCATGGGAGGGAGAAGAGGGAGAGAGCGAGGGAGGGAGGGGAGAGAGTGAGATGCCCCCAGCCAGAAGAGCTCAGCTAGAAGCCCCCTTCCCCAGGAGTCATGGACAAATGGCCCAGGGCCCCACATCCTATCCTGTCACTGGCTTGTATCCTGAATGAAATAACTCTGGGCTCACTCCAGGAGACTCAAGGGCTGAAATTTCTGATGGGCCCCATTGTCCAGCTGGTGGTTGAATGAGGCCCCATGGGGCTGTCTGTGTCTGTGCAGCCCCACGGGGCCCGGGTGACAGCCAGCCTGCCCTTGTTCTGAAAGGAAGGTCGCGGACAGCAGGGCCTGCAGTTGTGTTTGGCTTCCAGAGTGGGCACAGATGATGGTATCAGTGATGCCAGACACAGGGACAGAGGCCACCAGGCCAAAGTGGATGAGTGCCTCCGGCTTATCACTAGCAGCTGGCACCTTTTCTTCCCTGAGAATCTGTGTGTATGTCATCTTTTGCCCCAGGCTGAACCCGAGTTCATTAGAAATTATAGAAGATAAGCCCCTGTTCCAGCTTGCTGCTCGCATTTTAGGCAAGATGGCAGATGAGGCCACCAATCAGATTTCTACCGGCTCCAACTTAGACTAAGTTCGTCATGAACCTGGTCTTACGAAATCCTGTCAGCTCCCTGTAATCTGGAAACAAGCTGGCTGACCGTGGTCCTTGTCGGGGCTGTTCACAAACACTCGGGTTTTCCTTAGGGGATGTGGTGTGATTGCACTTCCCTTGCCCTTGGAAGGTAGGCGCGGCCCCATGACTTGCTTCTGCTGACATAATGCGGATGGGAGCGCCCTGTGCCACTGCCTGTGGGAGCCTGGAGGGCAAGCCGTTGCTGCGTCCTCTCTCCCTGGCCTGCCTTGGATCGTGCTGGATATGTATGTAGCCTGACAGGTACATCTCTGCTCTCAGAGGCCGCTGCGACTCGGGGCTGGTTTGTGAGGCTGGCGGCCTCGTGCCCACAGCTGGATGCCCAGCAGGGAGCCTGGAAGTTGCAAGGGACCCCACTGGAACCAGGCACTCAAAGACTTCCTGCAGAAATGCACCCTGTATGACGCGAGCCGCTCCTCTGAAGCATATCCTGGGGTCACAGGCTCTGCAGTCCCCATCTCTGTTTCTGAAGTCCCCATCTCTGGTGGAGAAACTGAGGGGCTGAGATGGCAAAGGCCACTGGCACACTTGGGAGCTAGAGAACATTCTCTCTCCTCTAAAGGCCTCAGGGCCAGGGTCCCATCCGAGGCCCTCTCCACTCTTTGTGCCGCTGTGGCCTGCCTCCCTGGAGCTCACCCGGTGGACAGGGTCCAGAGGGCCACTCAGTAGTGTGGGTTCACGGAGCCAAGGGTGAAGGGCTCCCACCCGTGGGCCCCTCACGACCTTCCTAACGCTATACCACCGCAAGCGTCATCCTCAGACCAGAGCAGTAGGACCCTCAGAGCATGATAGCCTCTCACATGTACAGGAACACTTCTGTGATTACCAAAATACAAATTCATTTCAAGGCACTATTGAGCTTCTAGTAGTTTTAATCCTCATCCATTTTCTCAATCAGTGGATACTACAAGTATAATGAGTATCACAGGGGGACGCGTAGGGAACAAATTATGCTGAAATGGAGTCCTAGCTAAAAAGTTTAGCAGAGGTACTGCTGTCTCCTAAGGTGGGCGTGGTGTCACGGGTTCTGGATGGAGTCTTGGCGGGGGGGTAGGCCATCAGGGCCTGAGGAGGGGCTGTCTCCGGTGGGGGTGGAGCAGCAGAAAGTGGCCTGGGCCAGCCAGGAGACCAGAGGGAAGGCTGTGAGCGGGGGTAAGCCTGGCCTGCTTCACTCGTGGGCCTAGAGGGGGCCTGGCCACATAGACCGGGGGTGCCTAGAGGGGGCCTGGCCACATAGACCCGGGTTGCCCAGCTTGTCTGGCTCCTGCTCAGGCCAGGGAGGAGGGGGTTGCCTGAGAGGGTGAGGTGTGGAAGGAAGCCTTCAGCATCTCATCCCAGTAAATCTGATGGGGTGAGGGGGGTGCTGGGAAGTGTTCTGGGGAAGAGATAATTAAGAAGCAGCTTGTATCAAAAGAAGACTGCCGTATAGGCAGGGTCGGCTGCAGATTCAAAGGCCGCATGGTTTATGGCCTGCCCTCTCGCCTCTGAAGTCCTATCGTGCATGTTGCAGGCCTGCTGGAGCCAGAGGTTTGGTACAAGTACCATTCAATGTCTTTGCGATGCCCGAGGGAGCATTTTTTTAGATCTATTCAAGAGGAGAGGACCAAAAAACCATTTAAAACTGCTTAGGTCATAATGGGCAGGAGGATTTTGGAGTTTCTCATGTGGCAGAGGCCTGTGTATCATCTGGGGCCATCCAGGCTGGGAAAGCATGAGATTATTTCCTGGGGAGGGGGAGCCATGTTTTAAAATCCATTCTAAAAATGACTCAAGGGCCGTGGAATGGTGGGCCCTCTGTGTGCGTGGCCACTCCCCACCCTCCCGGCCCAACAGGATCAATACCGAGCCCTGGCGGACGTCACAGCTCACCTTCTCAGCCGTGGCTGAGATATGTGGCTTGGCAAAGTGTTCCCCAGGGAAGGCTTGATCCCCAACCCCAGAGCAATGATTCATATTCCTCCATCACACAGACTTCTTTTGGGGCTTATTTTATCCTTTGAGAGATTTCTTTTGTCTCTCTCCTTTTCTCTTAACATTTAAAATCTCCCAATGTTCTTCCAGTTTGAGGACCAAATGCGATTTTAATACAGCGATTATTAGTTTAGAAGCCCTTCAGCCACTGACAAATGTCCTTAGCGGCGGCAGCAGCAGCAGCAGCAGCAGCAGCAGCAATGTTCTGAGCTTGCTGTCAGGGCAGGAGACACATGGGGCAAAGATGACTCCAGAATCCCAGCGCCACTGGAAGGGCTACTCCAGGTGAGGCAGAGGCTGGAGACTTCTCCCTCCCTGACCCTTACCTTGTCTTGACCTCATAACAGCACCCCAGGTCCTTGGGGACCTTGGGCATGGCTAATAATGGCTCCAGCAGCATTGCCCAACTCCCTCAGGACCTCACCCCCTTGAAGCTGCATCCAGGATCTTGGATACCGCTAACCATCCAGACGTGCACGTTTCCCAACCTCTGACCCCCTTCCCCGCACCTCCCCACCTTTCTCTAAGCACTGCGGTCAGCAGCCACCTGCCTTACGTAAGAGGTCTTTGAGCCAGAGACAGAAGGTTTTGGCAGTGGTTAGCATGGCAACTTCATGGCTGCAGGAGGAAACAGCCTTTTAAGGTCAAAATGCAGTCATGGGTGGAGCAGACGTGTGAGCATGCAGCTGAGTGCATGCGTGCGTGCGTGCGTGCGAGCATGTGGTCCTGGTCCTTCACACCACGGGCTGCAACTGGCCAACTCCGAGGAGCCCGCCTGTTCAGGGAGAAGGCGAGCGGGCCTTCCCCCAGCAGAGGGCAGCAGCAGACGGGCCAGAACTGCCCTGAGCAGGAGTCCCTGGCCCAAACCCCACAGCTGGCCAGCCCTGGTCCCGACAGGGAACACATTCGGGACCTGGCTTGGCCAGGCCTGCCCTCATAGAGCCCAGGACGGTGGCTTGGGGGACGCTGCCTTTCCGAGGGGCAGTTTTTCAAGAGCTCAGAAGTTACCATTGCGGGGCGCCTGGGTGGCTTAGTGGCTTAAAGCCTCTGCCTTCAGCTCAGGTCATGATCCCAGGGTGATGGGATCGAGCCCCGCATTGGGCTCTCTGCTCGGCAGGGAGCATGTTTCCACCTCTCTCTCTCTCTCTCTCTGCCTGCGTCTTGCCTACTTGTGATCTCTGTCTGTCAAATAAATAAATAAATAAATAAAATCTTTAAAAAAAAAAAAAAGAAGTTACCGTCGAGGTTGATGTCCCTCTCTCTTCTCCTCTTACCATACCCTACTTTTTCTGAGGAGTGTCTGGCTGGCGTCAAGGGGAGGCATGTTCTGAGGAGTGGGGTGCCTGGCCCCATTCACAGTATGAGGGAACCCCAAAGCCAGGGACAGGTCTTGCCAAAGAGGGGACAAGGCGTATGAGCTGGAGGGCACATCCGAGCTGAGGGGAACATGGTCCTCCACAACCCGACTCAATCACTCCCTCCCCGTGGCAGCTGGACCCCACAGTCCCAGCCCTGCTGGATAAGGAACAGTAATGGCGTTCAGTGATCCCCTGCGTTCCCTATTCCTGGACTCCTCCCAGCCTCTCATCTCACTTCCCAGAACAAACCAATGCTCATAAACGTGATTGCTGTTCCCTGTGGCTGCTGGTGAACAAGATAGCAACCATACGTAAAGAATTTATTCAGGTGCCCGGCTCAGAGCAGAAGAATGCAGGGGGAGACACGGGTTGGCTCAGCCTGGCCTGCCACCCCAGAGCACACTGGCAGGGTCCCAGGGGCCACAGGCCCTTTGCAATGGACGAGCTTCTCAGATCCCTGATAAGGAACTGGCTCTGGGGGAGCACAGCACAGGAGGGGGCCAGGAGACCTGGTTCTGCCTCAGATTCCCTGTCCCTTTCTCTCTGGGCCTCAGTTTCCCTTTCTGTACTGAGAGCTGTCTGACTCAGCCATATTCTCACCCTCCTGTGGGACAGCTGGCCCTTTAATTCAGGAAGTCAGTGTGGTGGGCAGGGGTATGGAGAGAGGTGGTTGGAAGAGACACTTTTGGATTGAAAGGGACTTAAAAGACATACTGACCCATATACCTTGATTGGATCCTGGTCTAAACAAAGCGATAAAAAACATCCAGGGGGCCACTGGGGAAATTTGAATATGAACTCCATGTGGCCATTCTTCAGGAGCTGTTAGTTTTGTTAGTGGGATAATGGCATTGGGGTTATGTGAGAGCTTCCTGAGGTACTTTGGGGGGAAACGCTATGATGTCCCAAAATTACTTCAAATACTTTAGCCTTAGAGCAGTCAATGAAGCGTATGGCAAAGGTCAAACAACCGTGTAAATCCTGGGGTAGGATATGCAAGCGTTCGTGATATCACTCCCTCTACTTTTTCCTGTGGGCTTAACATTTTTCATGGTAAAAAAGGTTCAGATATAAACTGGTAGCTTTTAAAAAACGCAGAAGCCTGGGTCCTGCCCCACTGGATCTGAATCTCTGGGGAAGGAATCTGGCATGGAGGTTTTTAGATTCCCAGGGTCCCAAGGACCGTGCCAGGCTCAGACAGGTTTGGGTCTCAGGTTTACTGAGGGCCAAGAAGAGCCCAGAGAGAGGAGGCCCCCCAAAACTCTGCCGCTGCTCAGGGCAGGGGTCCTTGGTAGTGACCGTGGTCTACCAGCCCTGCATGGGGGCGCCCCGTACCCAGGCCATGGACGGCTGGTCACAGGAGCTGACGTCACCCCAGCCTGGTGCACCCCTCCCCCTGGCGGAAGGGTGGGGCTGCCAGGACAGGACACGCCGTTCCTGGAGCCCCAGGGTTGCTGTCCACGTCTCCTGGGACAGCTGCCCCTGTGAAGGGTTAAACAGTGCGAATCACTGGCTCCAGCCCCTGTACACAGCTTCCTCTGCAGTCCCAGCTCCCCAGAACCGGCCCTGCCTCCGTGCAGGAGCCGAGGTTAGAGACCCGGGGACGCCCTAGGAAGGGTTGGAATCACTCCAGGGGTAGGGGGTAGAGATGGGAGACAAGTGAACGACAGAATCTCTGTGTTCCTGAGCTAACCCAGCAGCACCCCCAGACACATAGGTGCACACGGAGGTACGGGCACCCCCAGAAAGACTGGCCCCTCCACAGGGTGTGCCCCTTGTTGAGGAGTGGGGTCATCCCATCCTGGGTGGACCCTCACTCCAGCACCATGAAGGGCTCAGCAAGGCCCTCCCTGCCCTATCGCCCCTGGGGCGGCACTCACCAGGGCCTTCTTCCTGGAAGGATGGCAGGGAGCGTGTGGAAGGGAAGGTCCAGGGGGACGTGATCTTGTTCTGTGCCTGTTGATGGCAGGCCCTTCCCAGCGTCCCAGCACCGAGAACCCACTGTCTACTGCAGTGCCGCTGGAGAGGTCTGCCTAGACTCCGGTCTGCCCACGGGCCTGGATAGGGAGGTCACCTGACCCTGGGGAAGGGCTGGCAGGGGCTGGCACGTCCAGCTGTCAGCTGGTGTATGGCTGCCCTGAGCAGGGCCTGAGGGCCTAGGAGGGAGGGGAATGAAGAGGAGGCAGAGGAGGAGAGGTCTGAAGGGGAGAAGCGGTCAGCTCCGCTGCCTGGATGGATGTCAGGCCCAGCGCACCCAGGGCCCAGTGCGTCAGGCCCCTGGTGGGTTTTTGATGCCTTGAGGTAAGGGTAGGCTAGGGAGTCTTGTTCTCCCTCCCCCCACCCTGTTCCCCCATAATTTTACTGTCAGTTTGCCCCAAGCTGTTGTCGCCAGAGAGAAAGTCATGCAAGAAGACAGCCAGTCAACAATCAGCTTAAAGACAGTCAAGTAGTTTTTGAGACCCTTATGTGTTCTGGACTTGCTCCTTGCTCAGCTGAGCTGACCCAGGAACCTGTCTGACCAGTGATGGTTGTCAGGGAATTACGGTGAGGGCGGAGGAAGGGGTGTTTATCAAGTCGAAGGGCAATCCCAGTGTATTTCGTGGGCAAACATGGAGCTTGGGGCAGGGGACACCTTGCCCAGCCTGGGGGGAGCAGAGAAGGCATCCTGGAGGAAGCAGCCATCAGAGACCTGAAGGACAAACAGGATCATCCAGGTTGGGGTGGGGAGAGAGGGTGGTGGGAAGAGCATGCTAGCTAAGGGAAGAGCATGTGCAAAGGCCCAGAGGCAGTGGGGAAGAGGGTAGTCCAGGAGGTGGAGCCACTCAGAGTGCCCAGAGCATGCGAGAGGTGGGGAGTGATGACAGAAGAGCCTGAGGTAGGAGATGCGGGCCTCAAAAGTCTCTTGGCTTCTCAGGAAAAACCGAAGGGCTTTCTATCAGGAAGGGCCAGGCCCAGATTGGCATTTTGAGCACATCCACTCTGTTTTGGGGAGAGTAGATCAGGTCAAAGATGGGCAGGCAGGTTAGGAGGCTGCCAGGTGCTGTCCTCCAGGTGAGCCCAGCCTGGTGGCAGGGCTGAAGCAGTGGAGTGGAAGGGAATGGTGAGTTCCTGAGATGTTGAGACAGGCTCCACAAGGTCTGGGGACATGTAAATGGGGAGAGATGTGGTGTGGGCAAAAGATAGAGGCTCATCAATGCCAGGCTTCGGGTCTCAGCAACTCTGGACCAAGTATTAGGTCTGAAGTCTGCTGCCCCAGACTTCTGGTTGTAGTTCCCTTGGGCCCTGGATGCCCCACTAGCCTGAGGCCCCCAGCCTGCCCCTTCCCGGGCTTCTCCAAAGGTGGGCACTCGGCCCCTGAGGCTACAGTTCGGCTCTGGGGCTCAGCCTTCTCTCTGGCCACAGGCTCTTCCCCGGGCCCCTTGGTCTGGTCCAGCCTTCTTCTGACTCTGGGCCACTTCCCCCAGATCCCTGCGTCCCTCAGGGTGCCCTCACCTGTCTCCTGGTTTTAACAGGGCTCCCCCAGATTTACTGCTGCAGCACTGAGAGCCACGATGGCTTTTCCATCCCCTCACCCCACCGTTTCCATGTGTCTGTGGAGAACTCCTTCCGCACAGACAGCCTGTCCGCCCTCACTGCTCAAGCACAGAGCGCATGAGCCCTGGGCTTTGATAGGAGCCGAAGTGGGAGGTGAGACAGGACTGGAACGCAGGTCTCCTGGCCCTTGTCCCAGAGGTCCCATGGTCACTGTGTGCTCTGGGTGCTCTGCGCCCACTCTGGGGTCTGGCTTATCACCAGCTGCCCGACAGATGTGTTAGCAGCAGAAAACAGTGTCACGGCAAGGCCACGGCAGCCTTGGGGGCTGTCAGCAGCTGCCCTTCCTGTGGCCAGCCTCCTTTCCGGTCCCCACCCTGAGTCTTCCCCACACCCAGACAGAGTAGAGCCCTGCAGGCATGACAGGGATTCCTGGGCACCCTGAGGCTGTTGGTTTAATGGGCTGAGGATCCCATGCCCCTGCTTGCTCCCCAGGGCAGGGGATCGCATTTCACTGGGACAGGCGGATGCTCAGGCTGTTCTGGGAGCCTCCTGTGTCCTTGGTCTCTCATGCTGCCCAGCTATGTGATGGGCTCTGGTTACCAGGCCCTGGAAGAGAGGGTGTGACCTCCTTTCCCCCCAGCCCTCCCCCACCTCCTCATTCCCACCTGGGGGACTCAAAGCTCTGTTCTGGGAAACCTTGAATCAACACAGGGCTGAGCCCAGGCCCTTCAGGGCGGAGGAGAAGGGACCTCCCATCAGAGCCATTTGGCCTGTGAGTGGCTGAACCCAGGGCCTCAGGAGGGTGGAACCACATTCCAGTACTTGCTTTCTGGTGTCCTTTTGTTGTTGTAAAGAGCAAAGTTGCAAACTGACTTCTGACACATCTATTTATTGAATGTCATTTTTGAGCCCCTACTATGTGATCCTCTCGAGACGCACAGCAGTAAACAAAACACACAGGGCCCTGTGGTCACAGAGCCAGTGATGTGGTGCTTTCCATTATGCAATCACCTGAGCCACTCTGTTTCCCCACTGTGGCCAAGTTCTCTTCCTGGTCATTTTTCCAAAGCTCAGCTTTCCCTGCCAGATACCTGCAACTAAGCCTCCTTCTACAGCCATGGCTGGGACCAGCTCTGCACCAACTCCCAACTCGCTCTCCCTCTGGGCCTTATCCTGCCTCTCCTCTAAGCAATCAGCCCAGACCCATGAGGCTTGTCTGTGGACATGCCATTCCAGGCCAGCTCCTGGATGCCACCATTTGGAGACAGAAAATGCCTGGGGCTCATAAGCACACAGCTACCTATTTGGGGGCCAGCCTGCTGGCTCAAGGCACAGGGGTGTTCCCCCTTCAGCCCTCCCCACCCAACTGAACTTTTAGGACACCCCCCCCCCCGCCACCTTCATTGCTGCATTCCTGGGCAATTTACCCATCACCACATCCTGTGAATTTCAAGTCCCAAACTGGACTCCTTTACTCCATCTCCACGGCCACCAGCCTGGCCCACCACCCTGCCATCTCCCACATGGATGGCTTCAGTGGGTCCTCATGGCATCTTCCCTTCTCATCACACCTCTGCTCCTACAGTCCAGCCTCCCCAGAGCAATGCTTTGAGACAATTCAGGTCATGTCACTTACCTGCTTAATTCTCTTCAGGGGCTCCCTGTCCTTAGAATAAAGTCCAAAGCCCTCCCTAGGGCCCAGCCCTGCCCACCTTCCCAGCCTGATCTCCAGGGGTGCCTCTTCACCTTCTGTGGTCTACCACACCTTGTGGGGGGCCTTTGTACCTGCTGTCCCTTCTGCTTAGAACACCCTTCCCTCACCTCTCTGCATGGCTAATTCCTCTTCACACTTCAAACACTAGCTCAAGTGTCACCTCCTCCAAGAAGCCCTCCCTGGCCTCTTGGACCTGGTCTGCTACCCAAGACCTTTCTTTAGAAGCACTGATCTCAGACAGAGTTGAGTTTGTACTTGTATGACTATTTGCTCCCTGCATGTTTTCCTTCCATGAGGGCGGTGACCTGGATCATTGTGCTTAACACTGGGTCCCTGGGCATGTAGCATAGCGCCAACTGCCTGGTACCTGTTTGGTGGCTGAACGAAGGAATAAATGTATGAACTCATTCTGGGTCTACAGCTTCCCTTTCTAGCCTCTTGATGCCCCTGACTTTCACAGCTGGGGGTGTGTGGGATCATGAGCTGGTCTCCAGGGGTTCCTTTTCTCTTCCTGGCCTCAGGTGTGGAGGCCCTGCCTGGTCACTGTGACCTGGGACACCCTTCCCCCTCTGCCTCCCCCTCCACTGCCCCCATGACCCAGTTTTCTTGCTCTGGAGACAACAACATGTTCCAGGACATGTCGTCACCCCCTTCTCGAGGCATAAACATCATGGCTGTCGTGGTTGCTGCTGACCCACCTGGGCTCCCACAGAAGTCCTGCCCTGTGCTGGGCCCCTCTTGCTGCACCCCAGCTTGGCATGCCGCCCTCCCCTTCCTTCCCCTCTTCTGCTCTCTGGCTGGGTCGGGCGCTCTAAGCCCAGTGTGTCCACCGCCCCCTTCACGGCCCTCCCACGTGTCCACTCTGTGTGAGGAGCCCATTTTATAGGCCAGCATGTTGAGGCTCAGAGAGGGAAAGCACCTCAATCTTGCAATTCCCTCTACAATCTCCTTTCTTCCTCCTTTTGCCTTTCTGTGGGTTATTTCCTGTGCTGTCCTGGCCTTTTCTGTCTCTGGTTTTCCTTTTTTCTCTCACATTGTCTTGTCACCTTTTCTGTTTCTGCTGGTACTTCCTGTTCTACTCTGCTGTGTTCAGGCCTCATGTGGGTGCGTGAGGGTCTCGAGGTGGTAGAGCCCATTGGGCTGAACAAGTATGTCCTCATTAGTGGGCTTTTGGGAATGGGAGCCCTGGGGAGGGCAGGGCTATGAGCTTCTGCCCAGAAACCTGGGCGCCAGGGGGCCTCACCCAGGCCCTGGGTGCCTTGAAGGGAATCCCAGAGCAAGGCGGCTGGCATGGAGGCCCTTAGCTTCTTTCATGGTTGACACGTTGGTCTCACCTGCCCACCAGTCATCCAGAGCCTCCCCAGATGACGGTGAGCTGGGCCCCCCACATCAGCGGCCACCCCATTCCCTGGAAAGCCCAGGATACAGCACACACAGAGCGAGGCCACTGTCCAGCCCCTTGGCATCGGTGGAGAGCTCAAGGTTGGCGTCTGGCCACTCGCAGAGGATTGCGTGCGTGCTGGCCCGACCCGGCGCCCAGCAAGTGGCCCCACCTGGGAACTTCTAGCCTGGGCATTAGGATCCCATCCCGGAGCCTGCCTGGACCTGTGCTGGACTCCCAAATGGCTGATGCTCAGAGACCCCCCCCAGGGGGGAGGGGCACCGGCCATGGCAGCCACTTCCCCCTTACTGACCTCC